TTTAAATTGGGGTTCAAACAACAAGAATTTTCCTCTCCATATGTTCTACGTAGGAATTCAGATTTCTATTGAATTTCTTCCTATATTTCACACTATAAGTTGAAAAAATATATTAAGGTTTTATAAGTTTGATGTTTAATTGTACGTTGAGACCAACCAATATAGTTTATGCCCTATAAGTATCGAGGGGCTTGTTGAACATTGACAAAAACTCACATTATCTATTTCGAATAAGATTTGTTCCATGGACACACGAGAAATCCAACTTGTAGGATTTCTTTTTCCTCTTTCCCATCATGACTTGTCTAGGTTAATTTCTCAATAATAAGGGGATAGGCGAGAATAAATAAATAATGATATATCCAATAGAGATGATATATTTCTAAAACATGAATAAATAAATAATGGTACATGAATAAAATTATCTCTAGTACCACCGGCAGGTGGTGGTATAGTGGGTTTGTGGTCGGATGGAGATACCCCTTCCTAGTTCGAGCCTCCCGTGGAGTGCGTAGTCAAGGTTTCCCCCATTTGGAAACGAGTCCTACAATGTCGATTACAATGTTGGGTGCGCAAAATCACACAACATTGATTCTATGGGTTATAAGAAAAAGAGAAAAAGAATAAAATTATCTCTAGGGAACATGTTCATTAGATGATTGTTAGACATATAATATATACATTATAAATTATAAACTTTCAACTCATTCAAAAAAAAAAAATTTAATTTCATGAATTGGAAAAACATAATAAAGTATATATATATTTTCCAAAAAAAAACAAAAATCAAGAATAAATTAAATGTAAATATATTATGAGAGATCAGATGCATGAACCCATGACCAAAGTGACCAAAATTTGAAGATGTGGAAATGAAATGGCCTAATTGGTGTGGAAAGGGGAAACTATCTTATAATTCCAAAGGAAAAATCCACGAATTCCTCCGAAATAAAAAAAGAAAAGAAAAAGAAAAAGAAAAAGAAATATCCACGAATTTGAATTGAAACTTAAACCCATATCGCACGTTCTCTCGAAACCCTAAACTTTTATTTTTTTATTTTTTTTTATTCAGCCCAATTCCAGTTAGTGGAAAATATATTATGGACTATAAAATTCAATGTTACATTTGAAAAAAAAAAGTAAAAGTAAAAGAAAAAAAGAAAGTACAGTATGAATGCATGCATGGAAATCCCAAAGATATGTTGAACACTACGCCTCTCTGAAAAGTTCTACTTTTCATTTTTATTTTCTAAACTATATTTCTATATAAGAAAAAATTATGATGAGATGATTTATAAAAATTAATGCTTTATTTTGTGGGGGCGAGTTAATAAATGTGATTTTTTAAACATTAACTTTGAATTATTTCTTTTTCAAAAATTTTATAAATTAATATTGAAAAAAAATTATTCTCTTGGCATGTAACAGGTGGTAAGTTTTTAACTTTAGACTCTCCATAGATCAATCTGATTAGACATTTGTTTGATAGGAAATAAAAGGAATATCGAAAATTCATCTGTCTTTTTTTATTCTTACTGGATGCACTTGGAACGTTTAGTTCGAGCGTTGTCATAATGCCACCCACGTCTTTTTTTTAATTATTATTTTTATAACAAATACTTTATTTTTTTATTTGAGTTAATCGCTTCTTTTGAACTTGTTGAGGATGATTATGATCTAATTTATGGCATAAACTTGGTCATAAGTAGGAAGGTCGACAATTTTCTTCGTGTCCAAAATTGTAGTACTCTCAAATATATTGTTTCAATGATTCGATTATAGTCCTCCTTTGTTCCCACCGCCTTACTCACACACCGACTAATAAAATTTTACAAAATTCAATAAGATTATTAAAAACACTTGCTAACTAAACCATGAAAATATTTGAATCTACCACCAATTTTTTTTCTTTTTTCGATAAAAACATGCTATAGATTCCATATTAATAAGACAATAAGTTGACATAACAAAGGTTTATAATAGACATGACTATCCTTCTCGTCACCCATTCATTTTGAGATGAAATCTCATGAATATTAATATAATATCAGACCTCAAAAGTTCAAATGAGCATTGATCCAAAAATTGAATTCAGCTAAAAGAGTCACGATTTTGAGGAGATATGTTAAGAATCTCACATTGATAAGCTAACAAAGATTTATAATAGATGTGAACTATTCTTTTCATCGCCAATTAATTTTGAGATATAATCTCCTGAATAATATTGATAAAATCTAAAAAAAAAAAAAAATCTAAGTGGGTAAAAAGAAAAAGTGCTCAAACTCAATAATAAAATATCAAAATCGTCACCATAACTAGAAGATCAAAACATTCCCACAAATAAATAGTCTTTCTTTATGGTTCATTGGATGAAATTAAAATTTTAATATTAAAACAACTGACAAGGTAGATCTAACATCTAAGTAAAGGGTAAAACGAGCATTTTTTCCAAAAAGAAAAGGAAAAAATAATTTTAAAATAGCTTATTTTTTTATTTAGTACAATGTTAAAGTAGCTTTGGATCAACGCTTGATTATGTTCTAAGCTTAAACACGACTGTCGGTCAGTTTGTTAGTTGATTTGATTATTATTATTTTATTGAATTTTGACGGTTTCCAATTCCCCAAACTAAAATTCACGAAATTGCTATGAATTATTCAACCTTCGCCTGACTTAAAGATCTCCCCTAATCACTATTTATAATAATAATAATATTATTAATTTTATATTATAATACCCAACAAAATAAAATAATCATATATATGCATTCTTTTTTCTTAAGCTATACTAATTTATCAACATTATTTATTATAAATAAAAGCAAAGGGCGACTAAAGCTTTGGTTAAATTATGACTTTATTATGCGGTTTAAGTTTAAATTATGTTTCTAAACTTTTGATTAAAACTATGATAAATTCTTTTTTCGTGAATACTCTTATTTAAATGTTGAATGTTGATATGTGTAACATGATTGGATTCACGAGTGATAATTTGATATGAAGTGAAAATAAATAGTAGATCAACTTGATAAAATGCGGGACAAAAGATTGGATGAGATAGACTAATCAAAGAATATATTTTATGTCTGAGTATTTTGAATGATACTGCAGTTAACTACTCTTTCTTGTCACTTATTGTCAAAGTTGTGTCAGACCATCAATCTTTTAGTTGAATTGATATACCACGTGGATATTTTAGTAATGAAGTTAACAAAAATTTATTAGGATCAAAATTAAAAGTTTAGGATATGATTAAGACATTACTTAGACACGACCATCAAACTTATAATTTAACTTTAATTTTATTTACGTCCAAAACTGGATTTAAACTTTTTTTTTTTGTCCTTGCCATTTAATTTCTCTTAGCTTTGAGTATACATAATTTCAAGTTAGATTTCTGCACTCTAAGATCAACCATTTGGAGAACGTGTGAAGTCTTTCTTTCTCGATCGTCTGTCTTTCTCGTTTTGGATTTCGATTCATGCGATCGTTCTCTGCTGCATTGGTGTTTTCACTCTCCACTCTCCACTCTCCACCATAACAACATGTTTCCACTATATCTCAGAAGTCGTCAAATGAAGTACGACGGGTCCAAGTAGGAAAAAATCACTAAGAAGCTGTAGGACATACAACAATGGATTAATTCATTCAACAAGATCCGTTCGGATCGGACCAGGATGAATTGGATTGGTCTGACCTCTCGCTCAGATGTCAGACTCCCACCGTCGACAGACACGCTATGCTCGAAAATGAACGAATTGTGATATAACGCCGAATAAGCCACAGCTCTATTCCCGACTCGAAATCTATCAAAGACTTGTTGGGAGAGAAAACAGGGAGCCCTATACCATACATCCTGTTGCCTCGGGACGTGGTTAAAGTATTATATTATTGACCAAAAGATTGGAAGTTCGAATTCTCACCCCCACATATTATTATTGAACTAAAAATGATAAAAAGTAAATTTAAATTGTATTTATTAATTAAGGATCAAAAGGCTTGTGATAGAGAGTCATATATTATACCTACTGTCAAATCTGACGAGCTACAAATCGAGAAGAAGGTTACTTGAAAAGCTTGAACACTAGTATGGTCTGGCACCGCCCAAAAAATTTCAACCAGGATTTTAAATATCAAAGCCGATGGAAATGTCGATGTCCTAACCATTAGAGACAAAAGAGATCAAAAAGTCATTCTTAATATACCACAATTTCCTCGAAGAGTCAAGCTGCCTATCTTCTCTACAAGCCGTCTGCTGGCACATAATAATTAGCATATGATTATTCTTTAGATACCGTAGTGGGGAACGAAATAACAAGAAAAAACCCAACCGATCTGTCCCAAGAAGTCAAGCTACTTATCTTTTCTTCGAGTCACACCTAGTCCGATGACATCAATCTTGATGTATCAATTTTACGAAAATATCGATAAAAATATTTGATAAAATATCAATTTCGATGTATATTTCCAAAAAATTCATAAAAAATTATTTGAATAAAAAAATTTATTATTATTATTACTACTATGTTCACCGTATTAATTTGATGATACTTTTCATATTTATTTTGATAATTGTTTTTCCTTTTTTTTTTTTTTTTAATTTTAGCTCATACAAA